CGCTGCTTTTTGATGGATTGTCTATGAGCAATGAGCAACATTTTCTGTACATTCACATCTCCAATTCCATTAATGAAATTTTCTCCCTCTACTTATTCTCGCAATTCTGCTGTTGCTTTCATGTGAGCCATATTAACCAGCCAATAGACATCGGTTTCAAATTCCAAAGAACTTTCCACAGTTTTAATGGGAAACCAGCGGGCATAATTCTAAACTCAATGCTGCAATAAAGCCTAGGCATGTCATCAGAACCTCAACGCCTTAAACCATTAATATAATGGCGAGAATCAGTTTTGCACTGGGTCCATACCTTTCAATATAAAACTACAGGAAGGAGCGTTTCTGTCACTACAGTCAACGCAGGGACGGAAACTGCCATATTGAGCCTCCAAGTATGACTCAACATTTGTTTTGGTGGTTTGCATACCAGACTGAGATCTACGCCATACAGGTTTATGCTCATGAGAATCTCCAAAAAGGTTACTGAGGCAAGCATATTTATACAGTGTGTTCAAGATAAGGATGGGATAACATTAGGATTTGGAGAACGGTTGAAGTTACAATGTTGGTTAGATTAGGAAAAAGTTGCGCAATAGACCTATCTATTTTACCAGACAAAGAGGTAATAATACGAGAACTTTATTAGATAGAAAAAGACGCAGAACGCTTATTGCGCAAGACGAGGCAAAACGTACCAAATTATGTTAGACTTACGTATAGCAATCCGTTCTTATTATTTGCACGGGATAAAAAAGGAAGGAGGAAAACCGCGTGACGTGAAACGTATTTGTCAATCAACAACACAAACAATTGAAAATCGATCACTTGTCAAGCTACGTCAAGTTGAATATCAAGCATAATTTTATCCTTGTCAGACCACGGGCAATGAACAAGGACAAGAAGATGCCCAGCGTGCAAAAGGATTACTTTACACCTGTACTAGTTAGCCAATAAAAATGCATTGCCTCGTGTTGCGCGCGCATACAGGTAAAAATAGATAGGTCTATTCGACACTCAAGAAAATGGTACTTTGACATTTGACAAATTCCGAACTTTCGTCAAATATTCGGAAAAAAACGGAAATTTTGCAAAATCGATTTTATTTTTTCCTGAGCTGATTTGAAGAGATATTTCAAAATAAATCTCACTTCATGGTTAACACTTTTCCTATACTCTACAAGATGACATTATCAATTTTAAAATTGGACGTTTCGTCTTTGGGCCACCATCATCAATTCATTTTTTAAATACGGGCCCCTATTTTCATAAGCTTCTGATGTCCCAAAATCAATGACACATGAAGGGCCTTAGTACCAGACAGGACTTAAAGTCACGGCACTTGCACTAGGGCGTAAGATAGGTAACTTACAACCAGACTAGAGCACTTGTTGTAAGTTGGAAAAAAGGACCCAAGCCAGACAAAGCACTTGCTATAAGGTTTAAATTAAACCTGTAACCAGACAAAGCACTTGCTACAGGTTTAGAGAAGGGCCTAATGTAACCAGACAGAGCACCTGCTACAATAAGGCTAAAGAAAAGTAATTGTTAGAGCGCAGTCTCACGACTCTACTAGCGTTGCTGGGCCAATGGTGACTTGGGCACAATTTAAGTAAGAGAAACAACAATAAGTTTGAATCTGATTTTATTAATGAAATTGATCACCTTTTATATACAATAAATGCTGATTTTGCACACATCGATTGTCGTCATTTCCAATAATAAAAGTAGGTTGCTTATAATTAATTAATTCTAATATGTACAGTATGGTAAAAATATTAAGATTAAATGTTCCAATTTGGATAAATGGACAATAATAATATTTTTTCTACGACTATTAGAGAATTCGTCCATTCCGATTTAGTTTTTGATTGATTCATTCCATCACTAGTGAAAAAATATTTATTCTATCACTCGTTATGCGTACCTGTGGCGCCATCTTACTTTACAGTTGAAAACTACACCAGCTGCACTACGCAAACTGCAGCTTAATATCGACGATTTGTATTATTTGTTGGGTTGGAGTTGGAGCAAGAAGTGCAACGCAAAATTATTGTAATTTGCAGCCTTTTTGAAGAAAAAAGGATGGAAAATAGAAAACGCTGGGCCTATTCGGGTTTGGAAAAAGGACGGTTCTAGAATGGTTCAAAACAATCGCACAGTTCATTATTGAAATTTGTAATAGCCGAATTGTTGTCATTTTGTTGATTTATAAACTGTCCGATTGTTCTGAAAGGTTAAGGACCGTCCTTTTTCCAACACCGAATAGGCCTAAAATTTCACACCGTTTACCATATTATCAAAAAATAAAAATATGGAATGAAAACATGAGTTCAATGTTCAATGTTCCTGTTACACAATAACCCTTTTCACGTGGCTCCGGTTTAACAAACCGCAACATACCGCTCAAATTCGAGTGGTAGGTATCCATCACGTTACTTTGTAACCGGGTTAGAAAACGGTATGTCATTTCTCTAACCGTTTTGTAACCCGGTTAGTTGAACCGGAGCCACTTGAGAAGAACTTTTGGTTGTTACCGTTGTTTGATTTGAAGTCGTAGAAAAAGACGAAAAAGTATAGTCTAAAGCCTAGTACTCATAACTGCGAAATTCGCACTTTTTTTGAAGCAATGTCCTCCATTAGCTCTGTTCACTCCACTCCAACTCTACGCTGAATAGCCGAACCCAGCTACTGATAATTTTGCTTATTCCACACTTCTCATTACACATTATAGAATAGACTATTCTCAAATATGCACCTGCCTGAAGCATTTTCTTGACAGCAGGGTGAACCTACATTTTTAAATTTGTCATTTTCGTGCTGCAAAAATTCAGCCGCATGCGAAATAGATATTTCCCAAAAAGTGCGGAAAGTGCCACAAGTGATTGCACTTGCAAGCAATCAAGTGAGGCAAAGAGACTTTCCGCACGAGTTTGGAACACTATTTTTTTTCACAAGATGAAAGTTAATACCTATTTTATACCTACATACCTAACAATTTCAGATATTTCCACTTTTCTGCTCTAATGCTCGTAGGAAAAATTAAAAATAGTAAAAATACCCAAAAAAAATAGGTCTGATTAGGCCATCTGAACACCTGCCGCACTTTTTTAAAATTCACGCAGGTCATGCAGGTGCGTCAACAGCTGGCTTGGCTGAAGTTTTTGTTTTATTTACTTCCTTTGTCTTCCTTTTTATGCGCTCAAATTTCATATATCCATCTTTGTTTGTCACACGGTCGAGTTGCTAAGTGTCATAAACGTCAAAAAAGAAAAATAAACAAATCGCCAGGCTTTCCCAAAACATGTGCCATAACAACAAAAGGAAAATATACCCCTGACGCTTTCTTTTATTTAGTCGCTGGCTTTTAGCTTGAAATAATTAACCGAGTAGTGAAGAATTGTGTTTTTTGTTTACAGTTTACAACAAAGTGCGGTTAAGTGTTGAGTTTCTCTCCTAAAAAATGTTTGATAACTTTTTGACCACTCTAAAAAATCGTACAAACAACTTTTCCGACTCGATAAAATCGAAAACGCGCAAATTTTCCAATAATCTAAACGCTATCAAGAACAGTTTCTCTCATAAAACCAAAACTACATATTACACTATCACACAGAAAGACCACGATCCTGACTACTTTGAAAACGACTACTTAAGTCCCAGGGCTTATTCTATGACTACTTTTAGTATGGACTATAATTCGGTTAATGAAAATATGGAGTGGTTTCCTTATGTGCCTCCTTCCTATGATGAGAATAATATAATTGATCGGTTTATTAGGGTGATAACTATTAACGATGACAGTGGCATCGATGTAAGAACTTTTATTATCTATTAACTAGTTTAGTGCTCAATAAATAAGTTATTTGAAACCTATAGTCTGTAGCTGGCTATAATCTATAATCAATAAGCTTTGAATACTTAACTGGATTGGAGACAAATAGTGTCAAATTAAAAAAATAGCAGGAAAAATTGGCAGTTCCTAAAGTACCTCCACAATAGAAATTTAGGTTCTGCATAGCTCAGAATTTTGGACAAGAACACTCTTTTTGGGTTTCCTCGAGAATAATCCAATAAGGGCCAAATTTATAGTCGCTCCTCGACATTTCCTCAGACCTTAAGAAAACCTTGAACGTTTAGAATTAACATGACTAACTTGTCAAATAGTAGCAAGTGTCCATTAAAATCACGACCTCTAAGGGCCGGTAGGTATTATAAAACATTGAACCGATGGTTGAGTTTCAACCTTCGGTTGAATCCTATCAATTTGCAAGGAGTCAACCGAAGGTTGAAACTCAACCATCGGTTCAGTGTCTTATAATACCGACCATAAGGAAGATTCAAGGAACGACTATAAATTCGGCCCTAAATAGCTCTGTTGCAACCAACATGAGAACCGTTCTAGAATGGTAATTTCCAGTCAAACAATTTATTTGTCAAGTAGGATCAAGGGTCAACTTATTGAAAAATAGGTGGGCAACTGGAAATTACTGGTTCTGGAACGGTTCTCATGTCGGTTGGAACCGAGTTATTATGATCACTTTTTTTGTTCCGATTGAGAAGTTGTTTCTGTTGAAATCCTCACAAAATGAAATCCTTCGATGTTACAAGGTCCATAAGTGTTTCACTATTTTTTGTTATCCTTGTAAATTCATTTGTTGTTTGAATCTGGTTTTGAACCCATGTGCATTTATAATTTGTTACTAAAGATAAAAGAAAGTGGCGCACACACAGTATTCACACAGTAGATTTTATTTTATTTTAGTTATACGTAAGTGGGGAACTAATGTTATATTTTTATTGTTTTTACTTTTTTTTGTTAACTATTGCTAATAAATAAATAAATAAATAATTTGATTTATTTTATTTTCATAATGGTCATCTTTTATAAAAGTTATGTTAAATCTCCAATATTTATAATGGCAAAGAATAATAGTACCTATTTGTATTCTTGATTTTTTTTGTCCAAATTTGTGAGACAATAAATGTTACTTTTATTGCAGAGACGAACAGATAGAGAAGAAATCAGAAGAAGGCTGGCTATGGGAAATGAAGATGATTACTATTCAGATAGACCTGGCAGGAAGCCCAGTTTACAAGCAAGACTTCAAAGCGGTAAGAATATTTGAAATTGTAATTTGAAAAAACACTAACATTGTCTTTATTTAGGGATGAACCTTCAAATTTGCTTCATGAACGAGACTGTATCAGACACGGAAAGCCCATCTTCAGACAATGAATGTCCTCTGACGAATCCCAAACCTGCCAAGAGACAGAACAACACTAATCTAAATCAGAGGAATGGCACTGGCAAAGTTCCACAACCTGCTCAACGACCTGCCACTTTGTCTTTGCATCCTGTACCACCACCTCAAATAGGTACAAATAATTATTATTGTTTCATCATGAAATTACATTTATTTGTTACTACGGAGTCAAGCATGATTGGGAAGAAAGAAAGTTTTATAAATGGATTTATAAAGTTTATTTATATCAGAAATCAAAAAAAGTACAGCCCCCGGATTCTATTTTACGAGTCGAGTCGAATTGTCTCGATATCGAATACGACAGCTCCGGACGTACTGTACAATACATATGGAAAAAATCGAAAAATAGAATCGCTATTTTGACAATTCGATACGAATTTCGATTCCAATCGTAAAATAGAATCCGCAGGCAGTTTTATTTATAAGTAATGTATGCCTTACTTAAAAAATTCTTTTGACTTTGATTTTTATCAAGGTGACTGAACCACAAGGAAATTTTTCATTTTTTTATCCTACATTTCAATAATTTCTGTATCGAAGTAGGTAAGTAATACTTGTAAATTTCAATTCAATTATTTTCCTAAAAGAAAACTGAAACATGTCTCAATGTCGTTTTTTTGAAAATTGGATATCTTCCAAAATAATTTTGACACACATTAACGTAATTAGATTCAAATTAAGGCCAACTAAATCCTCTAGAAATCTCAGGGTAATGGTTTCAATGCAGCTCCAAAAGATTTGAGCTGCGAAGCGTCAAAGTTTTTCAACTCAAATTTTTATCAAAGGGAGCGGAGCAGAAGGAATTTTTTTCACAATTTTGGTAATTTCTTAGTAATCTGTTGGTAGAGCTTCCAAAATTCAAATTGTAATCACTTGACCTACCAAAAAAAAACTTGGTGATATCAGATGTCAGACTCTGATGTAAAGTTGAAATTTATAATAAAAATAATTCATTATGTTTTCTCAAGTATCCTAATTTTCCTTTCAGGTGCAGCAGCTGCTGAAACTGATTTCTTTGCAAAACAAGCCCGACTGCAAACTGAAGCTAGAATGGCGTTGGCACAAGCTAAAGAAATGGCTAGGATGCAAATGGAGGTAATAAGACTCAAAATACTGGTAGACACAAATAAACTTTGTTCTTTTCATTTCTAGATTGAAAAGCAGAGGCAGAAGAAATCCCCAATTACCGAAATGGTGAGGCACAGCCTGGAAAAAGTGGGAATCCCATTCCCTGAGGAAAAACGTCGCCTATCGCGTCAAATTTTAACAGAAATGAACGTGGCTCAACTGCAAGTAATTGTCAACGATCTTCATACTCAAATTGAAACGCTCAACGAGCAATTGGTCAAATTTTTAATGGACAGAGACGATTTACATATGGAACAGGACTCTATGTTGGTGGATATTGAGGATTTGACTAGATATTTGTGAGTAATAAATGAATGATTATGTATAGCTTTGTTCCAACACACAGGAAACCATACAATGAATACTGTTACGATTCTGCGCAAAACCTGAAATTTCTGCCGAATCCGTCCATGGGACGGTTTTTTTGACATGTTGGAACAGACCTTTAAACAATCAAACATAACAAACCCAGCAGAATGAAAAACAATGTCATATTTCTTATTTTTTTGTTGATTTTTTTTAAAAAAATGGCATATGTATTTGGAATCTATCCAGCTAGCGGAAAAACTTTTGTATATTTTCCAAATTGGTTAGATTATGCCTGAAATTTTGTTGCTCAAAGGTTTACACGAAATAGTTTCAATAAATCAACTGATCCTTCCAATCACCTCTCGGCCATCAGAGAGATAATAGTCCCGATAGAAAACATTTTCAATATTATGCTGATGTCCACAATACATATACAATTTTTCTATAGAACACAGCCCTTTTTTTTATAGGTTAATGAATATTTTCATGAAAGCGGGACGGAAACGAACCTATAAAAAAATCCTGCTTGATAGTAAATATTTCTTAAAATGGCCATGAAGATGAGGATTTCGAGATGGATGGAAAATATTTATCAGATTGATAGTAATCAATGGTTATTTTGAAGGTTTCAATTAAATCGCCCCTGTTCCTTCTTTCTTTAACAGATGTCAAATTGAATTCAAGTAATTTTTCTGGATACGGCAACTGTTTCAAATGTGGAAAATTTTTTGTCACTCTGCGCTGAATCTTTTAGAGAAGTTCTATATCCCTAATGTAATATGGATTCCACACAGTATACGCATATTCAATTTTTGGCCATATATAACTTTTGTAGAGGGTAGATATCATCTCGATGGAGTGATCTCTAAAGGCATGGTTGATCAAGTATATGTAGGAGTTAGCTTTTTTCAGTTATTGTAATTATGTGATTCTTCCACTTTAAGTCGGTTGTTACTACAACTCCCACATCATTTTGTTCGTTTACTGATGTCAAAGCAGAGTCATTAAGAATATAGTCTATTATTTGGGCCAATCCTTAGTACTGTGCATTTTGAGGAGTTCAGTTTCATTCCCCATGTTTTTGACCACCTCAATGTTCCCAAGATCAGTTTGGAGTAAATTCGTATCTATCAAAGGATTTGCATAAATTTTGCAATCATCTGCAAACAATTTACCACTTGATTGGATTAGTTCCACCAAATCAAAAAGATACGCTGTGAACAGCACCAGATCGATCACCGAACCGAGCAAAGTCTAATTTCACTAATAACAGGTCATGTGGGACTTTGTCAAATGATTTTTCATAATCTAGATAGATAACACCTGTTGGTAGGCCATTGTCATGGTTGTTTGTCCAATCATTTAGACATTCCAAAAGATTAGTAGTGGTAGAACCTTTTGGTAGAAATCCATGTTGAGCTGAAGGTATGAGAATGTTCTCTAGAAAGAAAGATATTAGTTCCTTAACTATAATTTTCTCCATACATTTCAGCGGGTTACAAGTGAGACTAATATTATAATAATTTTCTTGTCTATATCGATCTCCTTTTTTGTACAGTGGCGTGACAATGGAATATTCCCAAGGTGCTGGAATTTTTGTTTGAAGCATACATTTCTGTATTACCCCTGCAAGCAATGGGCTAATTGTGGCACTACAGTTCTGGAGAAAAACTGTTGGGATTTCATCAGGTCCTGGGCTTGAATTTTTTCATACATGTCAGATCTTGTTCTACTTTATCAATTGTAAATTGTATTTCTTCGATAGACCTCTCTACTATGTTGTCATGCAGGGCCGGAGACGCTCCAGTTGTAAAAGTTGTGTCAAATTTCTCTGCTATGGCTACACCATCCAAAAACTGCTCAGATGCAGGATCTTTTAAAGTTATGGTTGATACCTTGGAATTCAAGTTTCAACTTATATACTTTAACAGTTTTTTTGGTGAATCCGCATTCACAAGACCATTTTCATACCTTCTCCGGGCCTCAAGCAACTTCTGCTTAGTTTTGTTACTCTGTAACATGTAAGCTTGATAATTGTTTAGTATTTTATTTGTTTTATAGTTATCCCATAATCTACGTTTCTTATCTATTTCCCTGAATAAATACTGGTTTATCCACGGGTTTTGTGGGTCAGTTTTTACTGGCTTGACCAGTATGTATTTCTCCACTGCATCTCTCAACACACTGGAAGTTCTCAAATTGTGGTTCTATTTATCTTGGTTGGAGTCTGGATGAAGTTATTTATTTGCTCATAATTGGCAGTTAGAAAATTTCTTCTAGTTATTTTTTGTGTTTTTTTAGGTGGATTTTTACATGTGTTTTCGCCTTAATCGCCACATGATCACTGGGGACAATGGGAGGTTCTGTAGAAAGATCAAAGATGTTTCTAGGATCATTAGTGAGAGAAAGGTCCAGAAGTGATATCTGATTATTCCTGTACGTTGTTGGAAAATTTACAATTTGATGCACATTTGTTTCAAGATACATGTCCATAAATTTCTGTGTTTTTTTGTCTATAGGTGCAGTTATATGGTTTTCCCAATTTATGTTTGGGTAGTTGAAGTCCCCCACATTATAAATGGGGTGGTTTCGGGTGTAGGCCTTTTTTATAGTACATATTTGTCATAGTGTATTGGCTTTCTCACTGGTCGTAGTACCTGGCCTATAAATGCATGCAAGGGATATTTTTATACTTCCTATTTGGATATCTAACCAAACTGCATAATTCCGTGCTTTCATTCTGTAATTGCTGCACCTATTTTTTATACATAATAATATGTATTTCATATGTTAAATATGTATATCATATTTCCAGGAATGTATTATAGTATAGTTTTTCAATTATATACCCTAGGTAGATAATTTTGCTGGTAAAGAATGAATAATTATTGGTCATAGTCTCTAGAGAGTTAAATTTTAAAATACTTGAAAAACCTTCAACACTGTATGCTAGACATTAATCTGAAATTTTCTGAGAATGTAGTTCTAGTGTACTGTAAAACATACTATGATAAAGATAAAATGAATAAATTATTCCCTATCTTTTTTTTTTTTCTCTTTCTTTGAACAACAAATTCACGGCCATGCGGCCATAGCATCATTTAATAATTTTTAGTATTCTGACATGAGCATATGCATATTTTTCAGGGGTGCGAAAGAACAAGTCATCAAAGACCAGCTGGCACCTACGCCTCAAAACAACAATCTCCTTCCACCACCGTCGCCGGCCCCATCTTCGCCACTGACAACCCTAAACAACACAGTCAGACCGCATTTGAATAGGATAGCAAGTCTAGTTAAAAAGTAGCATGTTAGACTTGGAGAGTAAGGAATTTTTGCCCAATTTTTTGGCAAATTAAATTAAATTTGCCAATTGAAATCGTCGAAATGCAAAACACCCCGTCCTTGTAAAACATGTACATACATACATACTTATTGATTGTGTAGTTAGATCTTGCGTCTATAATAGTCGGTAGGTTTCTTTAACTTGGTTGTCGCCTTAGAGATAAGCCGTTTTTGATTGCCACTTGAACTATACCTACCTAAAAACAGTATTTTGGATTTCACAAATATGTTTATTTTCTACTTTACTATTATAGATCCATAATACCTAGGAAACGAAATACGTTAACACACCTATAACAACCTGATCCATAACGCCCGCTTTTGCGGGCGTTATGATCTATAACGCCCGCTTATAATACCTTAAGGTGTTTTTGTTGTTGTTGTTCTATTAATTTGCACTTTACCCTAGGCAGCCACTAAATGTCTGACCGAAAATAATTTTCGGTCTAGCCAGGATTCGAACCCGGTCTACCATCAACGTTTCCCATGTAGTCCAGCGCGTTAACCCACAGGACCACCACCGTTGCCTTCCCTTATGAGATGTTTATAGATATATTAATGTATTTCGTTTCTATGTACAGGTCGCAGGTACAGGTACAGGTCACAGGTACAGGTACATGTCAAAATACAAAACAATATTCTGTCACACAAGTTTAACTGATTTTGTTAATAACAAATTGATGAAAAAACATTGTGTCGAGTAGAAAATAAAGCATTGTATGCACCACGGGGATTTCAAGATTATAATGCCCTTCAGGCGAAATATATCCCTCGGGCCATAGGCCCTCGGGCTAGTTTCGCCTTCGGGCATTATAATCTACATAATCCCCTTGGTACATAAATAGCTATTTTGCAGGTGTAGTTTTCTTTATAGACCATGTTTGGTCAAGTTGGGTTCTTAATTTAACCTAGTAGTTGAAATATCTCTTGCCATAGGCCTTAGAAAATTTGTATAAAGTATTATACCTTATTACTCGAAAAAATTGAATCTCTTTTTTTTTTTATTATCTATTGAATTTCGTGTTTAGGACATAAAGCTAATTATTGTCTGTAACTTTTTGATTTTTTAAAATGCCAATAATAATTGGGTCAATTTTGAGCATATTGGAGCAAAAGAACAGTGAAAATTTGATATTTTTTAAGTGACATATCAGATATTTGATACTTTGATATGCATTTTTCTTTTGTTACATGGCTTTCCTATTTATGATCCAGATTAAAAGGGTTCGACAAATAAAAAAATATTTTGATTATTGTTAAATGTTACAAGTCCAGGATAAAGCTTTTTGCCAGAGACTTCTTTCCTGACGGCTTACTTCTTTTTGCATTAATGAAGTTATTTTTGCATTAATGAAGTTATATGACATCATAGGCTGAGAGCTTTATCAATTCCTTAACCATCTGAAATATTTATTTATACTTTTCTTATAATATAAAAAACTAGTTTTTTAGCGAATACGTATTAGCAACATTAAAATATTCAATAAAGTTTGTTAGTGATATTAGTTTATTTTTGTATGTTCCCTGAAATCCATATCTTGAGTAGTGTGGATAGATTTTTGGAATGTTTAGCGAAATATCCGTTTTGTACATAAATATGTAATACATCCTATTAGAAAGTGGAACTAAATTAGAAAAAAGTTAGTGGAATTACAGTGTCCTAAATCTTGATGATAATGCAAGAATTTTGCTTATTTATATTTACAATAATTTTCTCATATAAGTACAAGATTTGAGCCATTGGTAACCCCTTTAAAAGTAGTAGCTTTAATAATTCTAGAAAATAACCAAGCAACACAAAATTGCATCACTCCTATTAACATGATAAATTTGTGCTATTTTTGTTTTCGCCATTCCATTAATATTTAATAGAAAATAGTTTTGGAGTCAAATAATCTCCATTGTACAAAAATGTTAATGAAAATGTATGTGTATACTTTTTGATGGTCTACTTAAATCTTTATCTTGTCAAACGTTTGTGTTTTCTTTTAAGGTATTTGAAACAATGGACTTCATAATATTATAGGTCTCATGATTTCATCATTTTTTCTGTATCATTCCCATGAAAAAAAAATATCAGAAAAAACTTATTGGCCTTATTGTATTAACCCATGATATTATAAAGACTGTAAGATATCCAAAGAATTTTCTCAAAGGTCATTATACCTACTAATCTCAAAAATTTTGATCAAATAAAAATGATCTGTATGTGTTTATTGATTTCTTATAATTTATTTTTTAGATTTATCTCCTATTGTAAGTATACTGTTAAGATCCAATCACTGTGAATAAAATTGCTTGAATAAATGGTTTCAAAAGCAAAAAGATTTTTATTTTATTTTCTTAGAAGCAAAAGTTTCTTTATTTACGTAACAACTCCTTTATTATATTACATAATCTTATAAATCACAAATTGCCAGTACAAATTCTAACCTAGCTTAGCTTTTACTATTTACATTCGACAGGTATACATCTAGAAAACCCCACCATTTGCCGTTTTCTATATAATTTAAAAACTAAATAAAATACAAAAAAAAAAAATGTTACGTTAAAGCAATAAAAATTAACAACATAAGCATTGATTATTTATTAATTAAAAAATAATTCAAATAAATTTAAATAGAATGTCAAAACATTTACTTTTTTCTGTTGCCTCCCATTGCTAACATAGTAGCAATCCTGATAAAGATGTTTAATGTGTCCAAATATATTGAGATTGCACTAAAAGAAAAAAAAAGAAAAATTAAAACAAAAAATGCCAAGCTGCAAACATCTTTTTAGCGAAGTACTTCCAGAGAAATTCTCGCTATTTTAAAAACAAGGATGGAATTTATAATTTTATCACTCTCAAAAAGGAACATTTAGATACTTATATGAAAATTGCTTTGCATTGTCTCCACCAAATTGAATTGAAAAAATAAATAAAAAAATTAAAGTCCTCATTTTTTCTTAGATATTAGGAAGTAGGAAGCAAATTTAAAAATAAAATATTGCACAAAAATAAGCACAATATATAATCAAATCAAAACCTTTCACAAAGGATTTTTCCCATATAAATCCATTTATCTATAAAACTTGAGCTGCTCGATTCTACCTTCTGCCAGCTCTGCCGTCTCCCATACTCAACATCATTGCTATTCTAATAAATATATTTAATACGTCCAAATAAATTCCAATTGCGCTAAAATTAAACAGTACATCTTAAATTAAAATTGTAGATTTAAGAACTCCTTTTGCTTTGACCACTGCCTGTTGCAAGCATAGTAGCAATTCTGATGAAAATGTTTAGAGAATCCAAGTAAATTGAAATAGATCTAGTAAGAAGACCTTCTGATTATTATGGGAAAAATTATATTTTCCAACTACCTACCTATTAATTGGATCATAAGGCTTCACTCCTTGAGCTTCTGGATTGGCAGGGTATCTTTCGGCCTGCAAAATTATCCTTTGGGTGTCATAGAGCAAAAAGGCCGAGAATAGCAAAAGGCCTCCATAAAGGGACACAGAGTATAAACCAGCACCTGTACCAAATATTATAAGCAAATAAAAAAAAAATGCTTAAATTTAACTCACCTAATGCTGTGGTAGGTGGCAAGAACATTGATCCGAGAGAGCTACAGAAAACAACACCCAATCCCATAGCAAGGGGACCACCCATGTAGACGAATTTGTCATTTGGAGCACAAACCTATTAAATCAAAATTTCTTATTAAGCAGATGAATTTCAAAAAAAAAATGTTTTTAGAAATTTATTTTATTTTATTAAAAGTAGAATTTAAATTGTGTTCGTATTTTAATCTTATTCTTTGTTTTACTTTTATATATTAAATCAATATTGGTTAATTCAGGTCTTAAAACTTACTGCAACAGTGCTAAGTCCACCAACTACTCCAGCAGTATACCAGGCAGCTCTTATCAAAATAGGTCCGCCTAGAAAGCAAAGCGGTGCAATCATGGCTCCCATGACAGAGGCATGGAGCAACCATGCCATTTGTTTTGGTCCGAAGCCTACAAACGAAATAAATTAGAAATTGAAGCTTTGAGAAATATTTGGTTTTACCTGGTGAGTACTCAATTCCTTGAGCCAGCATTCCAGTGCCAATGATAGCAGCAAGACTTATTCCAATACCCTAAACATTAATTTATGAATTTTTGTAATTTTTTACATTCAAATACTCACAATAAATCCGTTTCTGGCAACAAGATTCATCACGGCTGGTGATCGAAAAGCTGCAGCGGCACTAGCAGCAGTGACAACGATTGAACTGCCGAAGTAAAGGTAAGTTGCCTTGATGCGGTCTCTAACGTATTGTGGCCATAAGCTGGAAAATAATAGAAATATATTACAAATCTCTATTTTTTCAAAAATATTCCAATTGCATTAGTTTTTGCACAAAAAAGGTTCAGTTTGAAGTAACTGATCCTGCGTCCCTTACTAAAAGTCCGAATTTCTAATAGTAGGTAAGACCTAACTTATCTACTAACAATTTTTTCATTTTATTTAGATTTAGATTTATAGTCTTCAAGTTATCGGTATTCCTGTTAAATAAATAAAGTATGATAAAAATAACTTCTTACTGTGATTGTTCCAAGGCACTTGCACCGGTACCTGATGAAAGTCCATAATAAGCAAGTGCGCCCATACCAACAACGGAAGCACCAGCAACTGCTCCACGACCAAGATTGAATGCTAAAATAAATTTCATCGTTTCTTATCCAATAGCTTACCCAGGACTTGTTTAGTATTTATAAACGACCAGCAAGCAAAGTCTCAGGACTAATGCTCAATTCTAATTATTGTTTTGGTATTTGGAACCGAGTTCGAAACTCAGTGTTATAGCTTTTGGAGAAAAATGAGAAGAATAAGAATTGGACTTTTTTTTTCAATATGAAAAAATACCTACATATTTTGTAAAGCCCTAAACTATAAAGTGGAATATTAAATAACTCTTTCAATTATATTATTATTGCTACTCGAGAATGATAAGGCACTTTGCAAGCAAGGATTAATAATAGGAATCCTATTATTTATTTAAAAAATTAGGGTATCATTCAAACTAGTGAAGATTTACATACTTACTAGTTATGTTTTCTTTCAAGAATAATAATATAAACTGTGAAACATATTAAATAATAACAGATTCAAAAATATAAACGAAAAAAAGCTCTCCCTGAATCCCCGTTAAACAATGTACCAAAAATTTCATAGTCGACAAGTTCATTACCGGTGATGATAATGATGATTGGGTATTTTGAAATGCAAAATCCCAATGTATCTTTATTCAAAATTAGTGATGTAAAATTCCCGAAACATTCAAAAGCCGCGAACATTCTCGGGAACTTTCAGGAAGTTATGAAAATATTGTTTTTTTTTTAGAGCTAAATCAGACAAATCGTAGTAAGGTTTATTTACCTATTATTGTAGTGTACTGACTATAGACTTTAAACCAAGAAAAACACCTATTTTTTTCTGTAAGATCAGCTAAAAATTAATCTATGGAGTAAAAACACTTTTATGGATGGTTGAATAAGGCTTTAAAGGAAAAGCTGATCCGATTAACCCAATCTCTCAGCTCTTTATTTTTTATCTTTCTTCAATGAAGATTATTTAAAAAAAAAACAAACTGTAGGCTGTAGGTACATCAGCTGGTGATCGGTTAAATCGGATCAGCGTTTCCGTAAAGACAGTTGGACTGGGCTATGTCATCCACATAAATTGAAATGACGTCACTGAGATCTTGTATTCGCAACAATCTCGCATTTTTATAAAATTCTTCTAGAAAGTTCTTGGAAATATTCTCGAAAGTTCTCGGAAATATTCTTTTGAGAGTTTTTGATTGAAAGTTTCCAGGAATATTCTCATTCAGGAGAACGTTTCCATTTTTTATCAGCAAATATTCTCGGAAATTTCCCAATGTTCGCGAATATTCGCATGGGAATATTCTTGACTCACATCACTATTCAAAATATTGAATAGGTACAAAATACATTTTCCTTGACATTTCCCCACTAATTCGCCAATTCACTAAAAACTCTGTAGCCAAATTTTTTACATTTTCTTCTTTATCACAGGGGCTAGGGCGAGAGCTAGGTTATATCCAAGGTTCCGGTTAGATCGATGTACTTTCGACATCTTTCTGTCAGAAAAGAAAGATGCCATTAAGTTACTATCGTTAGGGTTTCTTGTCACATTTAACACAAATAATTTATAAGAACTAGAAACAGTGTTCGGGACAGAATTGAACCTTAAAATGCCAGCATTCATAGGCAGTGTATCAGAAGATACACTATCGACCACAACATGCAGTGGCCTCACTTCCGCTAAGCTCCCCAGCCAATGGCAAAACTCGTTTAGAAGACCATACAATACATATAGTTGGGGAGCTGGCGTCAAAAACATGCAAGAGTTTTCGCAAGGCGGATATTTTCAAAATAGGTCGTACTTTAGTGTTAGAATGCTAGTGTACAGTCAGCACTCACAGTTCCGGGACAGCTGGCACTGGGACGCGGGCAAAGTTGTAATTTCAAGAAGCATCTAAACTGTTTTCTCAAAGCTCAAAATTTATAGAAATTTTGCACATTATCTGTTTGAAGGTCACAGATAACGTATGTAAATCGTCAGACGTCTAGTTCGTTGCAAAAAGGGGGTCAGACGTCCTCAAAGTTTTTATTTTATGGCATTTTCTTCGGTGTCCTGTCAAAATATATTTTTGCAGGTATTTGACAAATATATTTGAAGAAAATGCCATAAAATAAAAACTTTGAGGACGTCTGACCTTCTTTTTGCAACGAACTAGACGTCTGACGATTTACATACGTTATCTGTGACCTTCAAACAGATAATGTGCAAAATTTCTATAAATTTTGAGCTTTGAGAAAACAGTTTAGATGCTTCTTAAAATTACAACTTTGCCCGCGTCCCAGAGCCAGCTGTCCCGGAACTGTGAGTGCTGACTGTACACTAGCATTCTAGCACTAAAGTACGACCTATTTTGAAAATATCCGCCTTGCGAAAACTCTTGCATGTTTTTGGCGCCACCTCCTGGACTAATAGGAAAGTTTACCGAAAAGACCTTTTTCTGCGATTGACAAGAAATGTCAGCATTTTTGACCGGTTGACAGGTCGCAAAAATCAATATTCTGGTATTTTAATTATGTTTTTGTGCTACCCATTCTGTAAGTTGACTTTTTTGACCTACGTCCATGAACTGTAAGTGTCACTTACAGTCCGGGTCAAAAAAGTTACTTTTTTGACCGGGCCAAAAAAGTTACTTTTTTGACCCGGTCAAAAAAGTGTTGATATGAAAGGTGAAAATTGCTTTCATATCTCTGTCAAAATAATGTGACAAAAACACTCGACTTCTTAAATAAAAAACCCAAAACAAATTAAGGATACTATTTTATTGAAACAAATAGAAAATACCTATGGCCATTTGGACCCACTATTTTAAGGTAGCCTAAGCGATAAGTAGTCCTTAAAGTGACATTTTTCCATCAAAAACTGTCATTTTAAAAGATACCTACTTATCGCTAAGGGTTCCTTAAAATGGTCAGTGCAAATGGCCATTAGACGTCCAAAAGTTGAAATTAGCATAAACAGATAGGTACCTACCTAGTAATATAAAAATGCGATACTTCATGGTTATTTACTTTTTAATTTTGAAAGTAAAAGAAACATTTGTACAATTAGTTACATTTAACATAGGCATACTTTCCTGTATTGAAGTCGAAGAACTTAAAATATTAGAATCCTTACTACTAAAGGAATCCTCGACTATCATAGAGGAACTTGTGCTGGGAGTTGCGGATTCAAATCTTATATTCTCGCTGCTACCTAGAATTCTTCTGGCCGTATCTACTTTATTTGCACTTGAGTCGGCCACATAACTTTCCGCGACTGTGGAAGATCGCCACCCTCCGTGCCTTTTTAAAGCGAGAACATCCGCACCCGTATCTGCCAAAAGTGTTGCCGAAGTTCTTCGAAATGAGTGTCCCGTGTAAGACTCAGGATTGTCCAAATTCAAGTACTTGGCAATATTATAAGGTACTTTTCCAAGGGTATTTTTACCAGCAACTTGATTGACACATTTCCCTACCTCATACCTCAAAAAGAGTCGTCTATGATCAGTGTTCTTGGGCCTTAAGTTAACATATTTTCTAAATATACCAAGGCAATCAATATTATTTTCAGTATCATTGATAATTGTAAACGAACGTCTGGTTTTATTCTTGCTATCTGGAATTTTTATTATTATCACATCCCTCTTATCTTCAATGTCACTTAATGTCATCTTGAGCAATTCGTCTTTACGGCATGCTCCAGCAACGCCAATGAGTGCAACTACCTACAAAATAAAGACCACTGTTTTATGGAATAGTTCTAAAGCCATATTCATACCTTCATCAACAAATATTGACTGTCTGGTGCCTCCTTCAAAAATGTCTTTATTTCCTGCCTTGAAAACACATTTGATTTTTTGGGATTATAACCATCGTTTCTCCTTTCCAAAAAGGTTTCAATTTTGGCTCCATAAACTTGCTGGACTCTTCAAATGTTGGGAACGCTCAAAGAAATATGCCAAAAGTGCATTTTCATCAACAATATTCAAATGCTTCACCGCTTGCCACTTTTTAAACTTGGAATATATAAATGTGTACCTCTCTTTCGATTTTTCGGGCACTTGACTATGACGAACTTTTTTTTTTGTCAAAATAAACTTGACATTTTAATAAGAATTTCGTTGCCTGGCAATTAAAAAAAAAGACAATTTAACGAATATGTTGACAACGCCAAATTTGTTCACAATTTTGATTGTAATGGTTGCTAGCATAGGGTGCATGGAATTAGTAGGTCAATTTAAACAATAATACAACAAACTGGACACCAGTTAAAATAATAGCTTTATTTGCGAAGACGATCCCAAACTAACCCTGAACGCTAAAGTAAGAATCACACCATAAAAAGCCATTAATATTGTTTCATATCAATGGCTTTTCATGATGTGATTCTTTCCTTATATTAGCATTCAGGATCAGTTTGGGATCTTCTTCGCGAACAAAGCAAATAGGTGCACCATCAAATTCATGATATTTATTATCTTGAATGTACGGTAGCACAAAAAATATCATATGCACCTCGACTTGTAGCGTGTACTTTTTTGGCCTCAAATGCTTGCAAACCTCGGCCCTATGTAAGTAACACTTACAAGCCTTGGTACATAAATAACTATTCAATAGTTGCTAAGAAATCAATGAATAACAATACCGAAGGCCGGAAAAGTGATTCTCGTACTGTTGAACAATTGGAACAAAAAGACAAACATTTAACAGAAATTTAACCGATCGCAGAAAAAATAGTATGTGTATTTCGGTGGAAAAGCACATTCTCGGCCGACGGTGTAAGTTGACGGGCGAGGCGTAGCCGAGGCCGGCAACTTACACCGTCGGCCGAGAATGTGTCACTTTTCCACCTAAATACACAATATACTATTGTGCCACACCTGATCAAAAGCTTTGGAGATGTCCAATGTTACAATACTGGATTCACGATGTTTTTGAGAGTCCAGTTCCAAACAAATATGACTAATGTATGCCAGCAGATCCCCTGTGAATCTTTTAGAACGAAACCTCGAATGAAATCCTGGAGGCGAACTCTCTAACTCGATAGAAATAGAAATAGAAAAATAATAG